CCCCACCCTACACACGCACAGGTCTCTTGGGGTCTAGGCCTGAGTGCATGAGAGAAAAAGGAGGTTGAATGCCATTCTTTTTGTGCGAATTTCGGATGGCTTGAACAAGAAACTCTCACATCAAATGGACTCTAGTGATAAACCGCTTGATCTGGCCACTTAAACTTTGAGAGTTTACTAGAGGCAAGGCAAGAGTCAGATACTTGCACTTGGTTACCGTTCATTATATCGCCAAACACCAAGGTCAGGACATTAAGAGGGCTATTTAGCACAACATTATCTAAAGGGAAGTGGGTTAATCCATAATGTCTTAAAGTACAAACTCTGTGAATTAACTACAAGGTTTAGTGGTGGAGATTGTCCCATTTGCGTTCATAGCTTGTTTATTTGTTGTTTCAACTCTTTGGTTGGTCAAGCTACTTCGATATCATTGCAACTAGTGAAAGCCGAAAGTAGGCAAAATTAACTAGTAACGATTTTTTCCAAAATTCAAATGCTCATGATAGATTCGCAATCCCCTTTAAAACTAAACATCAGGGCCTATGAGAAAGATGAATTGTCGAATGATAGGTTTATCTGCGCGTCTAATCTAAAATGACGGTGACTGTTTGTTTAACTACCTCCCAAGTGTTATCTATGTGAAATGGCGACAAATTTAAAATTCTATCTGACATATTGTCTGGGTTGCTTGAAAGAGTCATGAAATATTGAAAAAAAGATTTTTAGACCGTAATCTAACTCAGAATTTATTTATTTATATCAAATGGCAGGCGTTTTGACAGTTACCTAGAGCCCTTTATTTGACTTCAGGCTTCACAAAGGGCAAGGAACATCAAAGTGAAAAAAGTCGAGAGGGAGGAGGGGGGAACAGAAGAGTGTTTCAAAGGTTTCAAAGAGACAGACACAAAGGTAGAAAAAAGGTGAGGTGAGTACAGTGAAGTAGACGAATATTGCATACACTGGAGTGTTGGTAAGTAGACGAATATTGCATACACTGGAGTGTTGGTAGTTTGAAGTGAGAAGTTAACTGCCGGTTAATAGACCTTTTTTCCGTTGCCCAGGTTGCACCACGTGGAGGTAAGTCTATCGCACACCCCTCTAACTCAGAATTAATAGGTGTTCTTCGAAAAAGGACGTAAACACTCATATATATATATATATATATATATATATATATGAGCGGCGAAGACATGTTAACTAAAGTAGTGCAAGGCAGTGAGGAGCTAAAATGTGGAGAAGATGGCGTAATTTTGGGAGAGCCCACGGACTGGGGAGGGAGGGTGGGAGCGGGAGTGGGGTTATAGATTGTTGTCGGTTCGGACAAACAAGATCAAATGGGAAAGGTAACTCATTCTTTTGTGTTTCATTGGTTGTCAGCTCTCGCAAGCAACTACTCACATCTGGTTACTAATTCAATATAGTCTAAATCTCATTTATTAAGATGGAATATCGTTTCATTCATTCATTTTCCTGAATGTAGCCACCTTTTCATGGGAATGAATGATGAAATCACGAACTCACTTTAATTTGTGATGTGCTATAGAAAACGATACGTCTACAATGTCTCACCTTCTTGAAGATATCTTGTTAAGAGTTCGCGATTGAGGTGATGCTTTAATTAAGTTGATTCAGTGACACTTTCAGTACAATTCAAACAGTTGAAATAATTAGAAAGTAGTACGTGGGAACCTGATCATTCCCTAAATTAATTGCTCTATTATATTCATCTTCAAATCTGAAAATCCCTATTTAGAAAATGCAACCCCTCTTCCCGCCTCTAGACTTGTCTGGACATGAGTGATTAATTGGCGAGATTAAAATCTTCACGACATTCCCTGCTGATCTTACCTACAGCAGTATTACAAATTTAATTTGAGTTACAAAATCGAGTGAGACCCACTTCACCATTATTCAAGTATATTTTGACTATTTCATTAGTTAATTTCAAATTATCACCATTCGCTACCACATCGCGAACTTCCCAGTTTCGGAAATGTCAAAATGCAGTTTTGGGACATCATCATTTATATGAGGACGCGTCTTCCTCCAAATGCAATGCGTGTGACCCACGTCTTAGCATTTATTTCACGGGCAGATTTCAAGTCAGACAAACGACCTTATTCGTCTCCAGAAGATGATTCAAAGTGGCCTAAATTAAACCCACCTAATTCATATGTCGATCTATTTGGAAATTATAATTCAACAAACTTTTAATTGGAGAACAAATAGGACTTGTTACAACACGAGTGTTATAATTCTACTGTGTTTTCACTAAATTACATCCTTAGCAAGTTTGGATTTCGGTAAGTCCTATTGGTCTTGCTGAGTTTTTCAAGGTAAATAATTTCGAATTTGGGTCTCCGGTGCTGATATTTCCAAAAGTTTCCTATTATACATGTGAGGCGAATGTTGAGGGCCTAACATCTGTTCAAATTTAATTTGATGAGTGGGGAATTTCTGTTTAGTTGAGGGTGATTTAAAAAAAGCATTACATTGCTTAAGCGATAAGTTAACTAACGAAAACCTGTTTGCAAACCAAAATACTTCCAATTTCTACGAAAAAGTGGACTTATCAATAGAAAGCTATTCTTGTAGAAAATAAGTTAACCAGTGATAAAACTATTTTACTCTTCACACGAACGTGTTTTCTCGGCTTTTTCGCTTAAGTTTCACAACGACGCCTGTACAACATTCCTTAAACTGTGATATTAAAGTTCGACTCCCCTACAAATGTACCCGATTTTGCATAATTATGAAATTCTAGAATGACCATCCCCCCCCCTCACCTACATTCCATCAGAAAAATTCGGAACTTGCTCAAGAGTGCAAATCACAATCAAGCGCCTTTCTTGCTATTTCTATGAATATTGCCTCGACTGGCATGAGTATTGACCACGGATTAGTGACGATTTTGGTGCTGAAATGAACTTTGTGTATCCTAAGCTGCATAGGAATGTCTGCCCAAGGAATTGTTATCCCATTAAATCTCGTCGATACTGAAGCCATTCTTCTTGGGGTTAAGGTCGCTTTGTTAAGTAATTCCCAAACGGCTAAAATGCGTTTCCTAATGCAAACTCAAGCCTTTTCCTCCTCACCCCCCCCCCCCCCCCCCCCCCCCACCCCAACTTATTTGACATTAATATTGTAAGAGGAATATGAAATTCGGACAGGAGTTTCAAATGAGGACACGCTCACACACGGAAGTATGGACAATTCTGTGTTTGTGCGTGTGTGTGAGACCCACTCCTTAGCTGTGTGATGAGAACTCATGCGATAAGAGATGCTGGGATAAGACAAGACACGGTATTGAATTGAGAACACATTGTGAATAGCACGTGTAACTCAGTGTCATGGTATTCGTTACATTGTAGCTTTGTAGAATAAATTGTGAGATGGGTAATAGTTTCCAATGGTGACGATCAATTTAAATTGGAAGGTTGAAGTAATTTTAGAACAACACTTAAATAATTATTCATCCACAAAACTTTAAGGGAAAGGAGTAATGTCTCTCAAAAGACGGGAAGAAATTGTTTAGGTTTTAATCTTCAAGCTATCCTTTTAAGAGCAGCTTGGCTGAAATATTGATTTATTGATTACTTGGATAAGCAGATGAGATATTTGAATTTTTAAAACAGCGCTATCGTAAGGAGGTTACTAAATTAATCACACAGTAGTAAGGAGCCAAAAAATGTTGAAATATAATTTAATTTACAAACTTAATAAAAAATATGGATGAAGCTTTATTTATAACGTCAAGTGTAAAGTTTAGTCAGTTGTCAGATCTGCTAGGTATTTAAGTGTACACTGAAAGACACTGTGCTGCCTCATACGTACTTCGAAATATACCATTTTTATTAGGTTATAGTTATTTCACTGAACTGCCATTACGAGTTTTTTCAAAAGTGAATGGAAAATTGATTTCTGACCTCGTAATTCAGAAAGCTGAATATTTTTCGACTAATTCATTGTCGTAGCAAAACAGTAAAAAATAAGCTGGTTAATTATGGAACAAATCGTTGTGGCAACGACTTAAAGTACACGAGTAACACCAATCACAAAATCCTTCAAAAGTATTTTTTTCAGGTCCACGTTTTTTTTTCTGCAACTGAATTGCTTGAACTGGAATGAAAATGCATAATGTTTATCCAAAATAGGTAATCCAAATCACGCATTAACTGAAATTAAACAGTGTGGTTATCCTTCCACATCAAAGGAATAGTATTAACCACACTCGGTCTTGTGAACTCTGACGTGAAAATGTTTGTTGTTTCATGTTTGTGCATCTTTGCTCCTAATCTAATCGAGTTCCACAGTCTGCATGAACTTAAAATTACTCAAACTCCTATTAACTTAGTAACTATTTATATTACCATAACTCAGACCTCTGTCTGGTTCCCGAATGCAGAACATTTCTCACACTAGAATGTAGCCATCAAATAAAAATAAAAATGACAATTGTTACGAGCATGACTCAACTCGGTTCAATATCATTCCATTGTCACAGAGCGCTTACTGACTAATCCGTCCATTTTAATTTATGGCGGTCCATATCGCAACTGATTAACTAGGGCCCATTTCACCGGGGTACACCACACCATACCTGCAGGTTTTCTTTGTGTACAGTCAAAGTTGTCGAGAGGAGTGGATAGGGCAATGCATAAAGTGGGAAAGGAGGTGGGTGGAGGGGGAGGGGGAGGGGAGGTAAGGGGCATGGTTGGTTTCCATATTACTTCTACTTCAACCATGATGACTGACTGTAGTTACTAAGGGCCAAACAGTCCGGCTGCCCCATGAATTAGCTAGAGGGTTGTTGATGTTAGAGGGAGGAAGTGCAGGGGAATAATCAAGGGCGTAATGGACAAAGAGTGAAAGGCCGCAGATGGAAGCAAGTTGTTAAGGCAGGTGATGAGAGAGAGGGAGAGAGAGAGAGAACTGGTGACTACTGCTATGCTATATCAATAAGGAACAACGCACGAAGGCACACATACACACACACTGTAGGACGTATTCTATATTAGAATGCTGTGGCGAATCAATTCAAAGTTACAACAGGAAGGAGGGATGAAGTAGTGTGTACAATAATTAAACCTTGATGACGAAATGAGAATCGGTTTCTTGAAAATCTCCTTTTGGAACCAAAACTTCTTACATTTTAATAATGTCATTAACGAGTTTAAGGAGTACTTTAAAAGAAGAAGAGTGAAATTCTGTATTTACGGAAAGGAGGAAAATCTTGCAGACCATTCTCGAAAAACGAAACACACAACAGTCAATTTGATTAGTCGATGAATGAGTGAATTTCAGACTTGAAGCAAATAATTACTACTTAAATATAAAAGTACGTGGTTTAGCTAAAAGACGTGTAAGCAACTTCATGAATGCTGAAATAGGAAAATTGCCAAAACTCAGAGTTAGAGATGAACTTCGGAAAGATAATTTCGTAATAAGGCGGGCTTTGCAAGAAAAATCCTTAAAGTTCCCCCTGGAATAATCATAACATCACAAATTGTAAAACATCTAAACCTAACAGTGAAAGAAATTCACCTAGATAAATGGAGATAGGAATCACCTGAAAATCTGGTAATGAATGGATTACGATGGGAACAATAAAAGAGAAGTGGACTTATGGCTAGGCAGTTATTCAATACCAGGATTATGGTTGAATGCTGAAATAATCGACATTTACAAAGACAAGGAGCTAGAACAGTACTTGAAGGAGATACTGACCATCGATGATGGAGAGTTTTTGTTTTCGTTGATTTAAAAAAACTGTTGATTCGATTTCAATCTGCAAAGGCCAAAAAAGATTGGGCGAGCTTTAGATGACGTGAAATATAATCTGCTGTATTGAAGTAAATATTAGGGGAAGCACGTTTAACCTGTATTTCAAGTCAGATTACTGAGTCTTTATTAGGCATCATTCCATCCATAATGAGAATGTAGTCGAAAACTCGTTAATAAACCCAACAAATAATTAACTCGCTATCAGCATTCATAATTGAACTCTACTTAAATGGATACGTAAAAGGGGAATTCGACGCGGCCCTGGGGTTCAATCACAAACTCAAAGATGATCTGTTAAAATGATAGACTTCTTCGTCAAATAGACGTCTGTTAGAAGCACTGTGTGAAAAGTGGGTGACTCCGAAATCTTATAAAAATTTGCCCCATACATTTCCCCGGGATTCATAGCCAGATGATGGGAAGAAAGAATAACCTAAGATATTTTCAATTTAAATCAACCAGTGACCTCATAATTAATGAACTTAGATCAGGTGAGATTCTTCCAACTCACTGACTCACAAATGCAACTTGCAATCAACTGTGGACTTTTATCCCCAAAATGTGAGGCAATAGAGCTTTTCAGTGCTCTGGCATGGAAGAGGAAGATTAAAGCGGGTTCAACTTCCGAGAAAACAAAGTTAGTGAATTTGAGCAGTATAATCTTAATCATAGGAAAGTGGCGTTTCCTTTTAACTTCAATTACTTCGACAAGGTTTGCAACACAGATTTTAACTTTATAGTTACGTGTGAGCCGACTCAATTCTCTTCCACACCAGTTATATTACAGAGCCAATATTTCACCGTTTGCATTATGCTGAATGAATTTTAGACGTTTCAAAGCGGGGACGATTCTTTTGCTCTATACTATAATTGATTCCTTAAAGTTTATCCATAAGTCTCTCATTTTCTAAGAAAAATAATTGAAATTGTCGCAGATGTCTTATCAGGCATGTACTAGGAATTTTTGTGCAATGATAATAACTTTCGTCTGGAGAAGGTGATCCATTGATATCACTTGAATGAGATAAATTTCTTGGGGATTTGAGAATAAGGAAATTCATCATAAAGAAGGAAATGTTCTTAAGAATCCAAGGAATCCAAACCTTCAAATTATTCTATTATTAGAAAGTATGACTTAAGAATGGTACGGACTACATGGGAATCGGGTAGAAACTTGAACATGAAATTAAGTATAAATAGACTTCTGAGATGTGTAAGACTAGGAATCTCATAAATTCCTTTTTGTGGTTTCCAGTTGTTTTAGTCAAGGAATTAGAATAGGGAAGGGATAGTTGATGATACCGACCTTCAGATTAAGATCTTTTGAAGGAAGCAGATCTCCACTCACAGTGTCCTATTTCAGTGGTGGATGCAAAGTTTCATTTGAATTACTTAAGAACTTAACCGCTTTGGATGCAAAATGAACACAAAAATTGAGTCCACTTATTCAGAAAGAAAATAACTTTTATCATTAATAGTAAATTAATATAAATTATATTGAATTGGATGTACGTAAAAACGGTAATTTATCAACACTACAAGCCGAAAGTTACAATCAAACATTAATGTTAGTAATTAAATCCACCAAATATGCATCAGAAAGATAAATTGTTGAATTTCATAATCCATCAAGTTCTTGAAATAATAATCATGTTAAGTAAAAAACGTGGCCAACAGCCGAAGCAAATCTTATTGTTAGAATCTAAGCAGAAATGGCAATAAAAGCGAATGCCCATAATCGTATGGACAACAGGATTTCCTTACTAATTCACAATGATACATAAAGTAATTTCATTTTATAATGATTTACAATATATTCAGTATGATTTCTTGTGTAAAAAGAAATTGAAGTAAAATTTTATGTGAGACGATGAAAAAGCCATTAAGATGACAATAAAAATCAACATTAAAGGAAGAATAACTAGAGTACAAAAAAGCAAAAGCAATAAGTCGAAAAAATGAAAATGCAAAAATGAGCATAATAGCATTTATGTTAAGTGATAATCTAACTGTCGATGAACACAAACTCGAAAGTTTTGAAAAGAATTTTTTTCGAATATATATATAATGAACATTTTCAATAGTTATAAACGCCAAAAGCAATGGCAACACAAAAGAGGGACGGTGTAAGGTAATAAACCTCCGCATAACTGTCAGTATCATTATCCCAAAAACATCTACAAGCAGCTTTGACCCCTTGACCCTTTTGTTCACCAATGATAACTTGGACCAAAAAGGAATACGACTTATAGTTAAGTTGATTCCGAAGTTCATCTCGAATTTTGTTAGAAATCATTTTAGTCATTTCTGAAGTTTGTCATCAAATAATTACGAAAAAACCTGGCATCTGATCATAGTCATATTTGACGCTATCCAAACTTTGCTTCAGAATTTCACGCATTATCTCCCGAACTTTTGAAGTACGAAATTTGTTAGAAAAGTCAGGCTTAATTTTTTGATCACAATTTTCCTTTTCATTAATACCAGATTTAAAACGATCTTCATTAACCGTTTTATGATCTAATGTGAGGTCAGTCATAGAGTATATTACCGTGAGTATTGCTATGGTAATGGGATGGATAGTACGTTTTAACAATGTCAAGGTTGTGGTGAAATAAAAATATGCTGAAATCAGTTATTGTCCGTTAAACATGGAGAAATATATAATTTAATGCGTTTGATAATATTACAAAAAGGTATTTATTATAAGATTATAATGTTTTCCCAATTGACATTTAAGATTAAACATAAAATTTTGGGTCAAACCATTAAATGACGAAACACAATATCTTGATAAACAGATAAATATAAATCTTTATCTAATCAAGTCTTAAACATGCTGAGTGTGCTTATTTTTAAATTTGATTCAGTAATCTGGATTTGCGTATCCTTTCTTCTTATCTTGTTGATTTTCAGTCAGTGGATAGAGTGGTACAGTTGACGATGCTGTTACTTCATAAATGGACGGACTCGAAATATGCGGTGGTGGTTGCACAAAGGATGCAAAGATCCAGAGCCAACTTGCTACAACTCCAAGCCCCGAACTCGCCCAACTGAGGTATGATGAGAAACCGTAATTTCTCGTTAACGTTTCCAACTCTGCCTAAATAAATATTTAAGAATAATTAATGGTAATAGTTACCATACCTGATCGAGCATTGCGGGCATTCCGTTAATTTTAATATTGGTAGTAATACTCTCGAAAATTGATGTTCCTTCGAATGATATTATTCCAATAGCAGTTGCGATTGCTTTAAAAAAAAACAGACGAAAATTAGTTTATTAGACTATTTGTTGGTTATTTGCATAAAATTTCGAATGGTTTTGACCTGAAATCCAAATGAGAAATCCGGACACAGCCAGGCATGACTGGGCACTCTGAGCACTAGGCTTGCTCATACAGTATCGAACAGTCAGAAGGTACACAATGCAAGCGAACGAAGAAATAGTTTCTAACCCAAGAGCAGCCACAGGAATTGTCCAATTAATAATCCGAAGACCTTACGCGATAAGAGATATTTGAAGGTGAATAGTTTATTTGAATTTAAATATCTTTTGGTATCACAGTAGGAGTTTATAATTTTGAAATTATGCGCATATTAGAATAGAACAGTATAAAGATAGAATTTTGAAGCTAAACTCACGGCTTATCACTTTAGTTCGCTTATGTTGTGCTTCATTGCAGTCTCCAGAAGGTAAAACGCCTGTAGTATAAAAAATAGGTTTTGCGAAATGATAGTTTTATAGAGGCAAAAGTTTTATCAATATTAAAACAAAGTGACACAAATGACAAAAGGGTAAGTGAATACCAATCATATCTTGACTTACAATCATGGTAAAGTAGCCAGGGATTCGAAATATCTTGGCATTCACTTCCAAAGGTCCCTGATAAACAAAATCAGCATGCGCATTATTTTAAAGCCACTTTTTAGTGTTGGTATTTTCATATAATATAAAACAAAGCCTTGATTAATGATTTCCTATAATTAATTATGTAATTAGCACTGGTTACCAAAGCTCCGTGGATTAGGTTTTAGCTGGGGCGCTGGGGACTAATATTTGCTGCAAAATTCTAACATTTTATTCATCATTTAATAATAAAATTAAAAATTTCAAAAAAACTAAATTGTTCCTCTGTTTTCTACTGAATATCCCCACAAAACTCAATCCCAGTTACTCGTTTGCTTTCGATAGGCTTTGTTTAAAAGAGCTTACCTTTACAACCCTTGAAGACTCCACGATTGGGGTATACGTCGTTGTTAGACTTACTGTATTCCATCCAATGGGGAAAAATAATGGCCGTTAAGTTAGTTGCTATTGCAGCAAGTATACAAAAGGTTCCGGCTGTCACTAGGCTGACCCAGAGTTTACGTGCTGCTCTCATGTTGACGAAAGTGCGGTAGTCTTCTTCCGAATAATTGGAGAATATGAAAGACCACAATCTTGCAGTGTGTTCGAACACCAAAAGTGCGCAAGTGCTGACCACAGTATAAATAGCCAATAGGTGATGAGGTAGTCAGCATTGGCTTGCGTAATTGCGTAAAAAAGTGGAATTTGAATAATTAATTTTTGTGGTTCTATGTTTTGAGTGAATCAAAGGAATGGTTTCAACATTGTTAGATTTTTTTTATCACTAGCATCGTTTCAATTTTGTATAAAATTTTTGTTAGTGAACATCCGCGTTGTGGTATGAATCATCTATTTACTCAAATTCAGTCCTTTTAAAGCACTAAAAAATTCAGGTAAGGAAAAAATCATGCTATATAAAGCTACTCAATTTATACTCATTTTTTGCTCAAACCAAGTTTAGTGGTTCATTGCGCCCAATATTGACAGTACGGGGTGTGCGATAGACTTACCTCCACGTGGTGCACCCTGGGCAACGTATACTCATACGGCAAAAAAGGCTATTAACCAGGATTTGACTTCTGACTTCAAACTACCATGACCCCACTGTATGTCATATTCGACTACTTCCACCATACTCACCTCACCTTTTTTTCTACCTTTGTGTCTGTCTATTTTGCATCTTTGAAACACTCTTCTTTCCCCCCCCCCTCTCGACATTTTGTCACTTTGATGTTCCTCCTCATCTCTGTGAAGCTTGAAGTCAACTAAAGGGCTAATGATAACTATCAAAACGCCTTCCATTTGAAATAAATAAATAAATAATATTGAGTAATTGGTCGCCTTCCATTTGAAATAAATAAATAAATTAACAGTATTTGGATGACAAAATTGTTTCTGTAGAGGTCATTAGTTCAAAGATATTATATTAACGGAAAGTGCGATAAAGCCCAGAAAAGTAGAGAATAAACAGAACTCAATTCGGGACAGATGCGTTGGAATAAAGCATGGAATATTTAGACATCCGTCTCCCATTTTTTCAAACTGAAATATGCAACTAGCAGTTGCCTCTACGAAGTGTCCTCAATTGGCTTAAGTGGTCATGGAAATTTGTCCCATTTATGGTTAAATGATCCGTGCTGTTTATATTTCTTAATTAAATTCACTTCCTTGGTGTACAAATGTCTCCCCTCCGTCAACTCACTCTCTGTAATCGACGATGCTCTTGAGACATATTAAAGACAATAAATTGTGCCAGGAAACTAGTTAGACTTTTCATTGAATTTCAAGGTACGCACGGCCTTCTTTCAAAATAGACTCCATCGCTACTGGACTCGTAATAGAAGGTCCTATTGCCGATTGAAACAACTTCGATACGCCTAAGGCCTTCGCCTGACATAATCAGAACTCATCACGTCGGCGGAATCAGTCTGTTGTGAGATACGCGTAAGTGCGGTTATGTGTATTTTCAAAAAAATATTCGAGTGTTAAAGGAGTAATTGCGATTAATAGAAGTAGTAATCACTGCAAAGCAAAAAATTAACATAATTTTGCTTCATTATGAAAAGACCCTATTACGTGGGGGTGGAGGCAAGTAAGTTAGAGATATATTAAGTCATTTGAATTTTGAATACTTCAGGTAGCCTACTCTAAAAGTGTATTGTGTCAAAGTGCTTTAAAGTTCGAATTTCAGCACCATTGGGTGCCTGATTGAGCACACACACTAGGGCGCGCGTATTGAGCATTCGGAATCACTCATCCCTTATGGGAAGAGTCAAACTTCAGTCTCAAATAGGGAAGTGCTGTAAGACTGCATTTTAACATTTAACCCCAAATAACCACGGAATTTCGGAAAACCACGGTAAGGTGATCACCACAACCATTTGCGCTCTTGAATATATTACCAACACATATTATCTTTATCGTCTTGCTTACAGTGCATATGTACACAAAAATATATCTTCTTTTTTTAAAAAATTAATCCATTCTTTCATTGATCTGCAGTAGTGACCACGGCTAAGTTGCAGTATTCACTCGAGTCTAATTTGACAATTTAGCTACCTAAAAGACCTCAATATGCATGGTTATCCTTCGTCTTCTGGTCTTTGCATTCCCTTGAGTGCTCCAATTATTCTAGGTGTGGTGAACGTCTTCGTAATTTGGAAGACTCCACCTTGCTCTCCTTCACTATTACTTCAAGACGACTCTCCAAAGATAAAGATACGCACTTCAGAAAAAGTTTACACGATAAATATGCAAGTAGCAGTGTGGGCACCAATACTACAAATACATCATTGCATTATGCGACAGCAATGAAAAAAAAATTGAGGATTATTTTAAATCTGTTAAAGCCGGGAGCATAATAAACAAAGTTGAAATAATTTATTCAAAAAAACCAAATGGAATGTTTCACGTGAAAGTCAAAAAAAAACAAATAATAAGGTGAATTACAATTAGTAGACCAGAAAATCGAAGACTTTTAATCAGATAACTCCATAGAAATAACCTCCAAAGCCGCTTCAATATGCGACCTCCTAGCACCATCTTGTGCATCCTTGAGACAGTGCTCCAGACTAAAGAGAAGATCACGAGGCATGCCCTTGACTAATAGGCCATCACTGGACATGGCGGTCATACAAACTGCCCAATAATTGTGATCGGAGGGAGGATTACTGGCGCAAAGTCCACTGACATGTTCTTCAGATAAACAAGGCGAGTGAGTAGCGAATGCAGTGTCTAGGCAGGTGTCTTGAATGTAGGAGGCGTTGGTTTCGATTACGAATGGAGATTTTGAGTCTTGATTCTATGACAAAAGGGCAATAAAGGAGGAAAAGTTAATTAAAAACCCACTTTCAAAGATAAACAACGCACAAAATGATATTGATACTAAATGATATTCCATCAAGTAGTTTCAATGCACAGAAGAGAAATTAAAACATAATGCAAATTCCTTGTTTCCGAGCATTGAAATTTGTGAATACCGTTCGACCTTCGAGCCTCGAGGTCATTTCAGTATTACAGTGTGGCCAAAATGAAGGAGACTCTCCGCTCCTCCTTATCCTACCACAAGTGATATTGAGCGTCAGTGGTGAGTCACGTGATATCCTGCAGCCATTTTATCGTCTGCCCAGTGTGTCCATGATACTTGATTCTAACGTTCATTATTTTCAATCGAACAAACACCGTTTACTGTGGAACCTTATTTGAAATGCAAATTAGTTGTAAAGGCGAAATACTCGCAGACAATTGCTCCTGGCAAAAGTTGTGACCAAGACGATGAATGTTAAATGTAAACCTACAAACTCAGTTACCAACGCGGAACTTAACTGAGTTAACGAGACTCCTCCATGAAGTCCCCGGCAGTCAACCAAATGCCTAACAACCTAACAGACCAACAAACGAACGACACCTAAGAACTTGTTGGAGCAGTTATATATGCGAGTGTGGGAAACACGGTATAAACGTGCTCCAATTTGGGCCACACAATAGACTTACCTCCACGTGGTGCATCCTGGGAAACATATACTCATTTGGCAACGGTCTATAGACCGGCAGTTGACTTTTGATTTCAAACTACCATGACCCTATTGTAGGTCATATTTGACCACTTCCACAGTACTCATCTTGCATTTTCTCTGGCTTTGTGTCTGTCTGTCTGTCTCTTATACATCTGTGAAGCCCACTTCTGCTCCCTACCCCTTGACTTTCTGCTACTTTGATGAACCTTCCCTCAGTGAAGCCCGAAGTCAGCTAAAGGGCTAATGATAACTATCAAAACACCTGTCATTTGAAATAAATAAGTGAACTCCAATTCTGACGTCTCAGTAGCATTGGGACACACACACACACGCTAAACCACCTACACTTTGTGGCTAGTCAAAGAAAATAAGAAAAAGTGGCTCCTGTAAATGAGTAATACTGATCGTGGGTGCAAGCGATTGAGAGCGTGATCGGAAGCACGAAAATGCAAATATGGAAGGCCCCAAGCAGTTGGCAACATGCATCTATGCACACATGCACACACACACACACACATGCAAATGTGGACAGGGAGCAAATACATGCAAGGCACCATGGTGACAACAGAAGAACTGAGAAGTGCCAAGCCAGAGAGAGAGAGAGAGAAATTACAAGTAGTACGTTTCCGTGACCAAAGAAACGCGGTTTAGGTGAAGAGTTTGGCGCCTCAGTTAAAAGATTTTGAGTGGGAGTGAATATGGAGTTTTCAATAGGAGAGAGTGGTAGGATTTGGTGATTATTTTTTGGCCCTCCGACACTCCAATCATGGAAATCTGTGCGAACGAATAGGATCACACAAATCAAACAAACATTAAATTGAAGACAGCGTGACTATGAGAGTTCTAACTTGGGGGTTTTGAATAAGAGGCATTGGTGGGAACACTGGGAAATTGCGATACGCAAAGCGAATTACTTGACGCAAAATCAACTTTCATCCATACTGAATTAAGAAAGGATCGTTATGTTATAACAGAACAACGAGAACGACTGAAAAATTTAAACTCATTTTCAATATAAATAAATAAATATATATTTTGAAAACTGAGCGAAATAACGTCTAAATTCGATTAGGAAAACAAATAAGATATCAAAAATAACATTGTTTCTATATTATATGACTCAATAGTAAAGCAAGATTAGGTAGAAATATAAAAAGACACACGAGGCAAGGAGAATTCCAGTGATTACTAATAAAAAGGAATAATAGATTTAAATTTTTAATTACCACAATTAGGCACAAAAAATGGCCAATAAAAATCCTATTCACTCGAGACTCTAGAAACTAGAAATCGTTTAAATGATCAGTAGCTTAAAATACTCGCNCCCCAAAGACATCCCATCGATAGTCACCCAAGTAGAGCGCGAAATTGCTGGTTTCTGGATCAACCAAAGAAGAATTTGACTCCAATTTAGAAGGTATCTGGAGAAGACCTCGGAGAATACGAAGTCTCGTTCTCACTGAAGACTGAAGTGGGTAAATAACACAGCTACTTATACAAGTTCAGTAGATACACTATTCAATTGCAAACAATCTTACATATATGAAATGACTAAGAGGTTTAGAGGTTCCCTTTTCCAAGGTCATTCGTCCACAGGCACCTAATTGGAGGGGAAATGGCCAGCCCTCATTGGGAGGAAAGGTAGTAGCAATAAGCGCATGCGGATTGATAGCCAGATTGAAGAGAAGTGTGAGCTCATCAAAACGCAACCATGATTTTTGTGGCGGTAGATTTCGATTGCTCGAGCGTTCACGATATCTGTAGACGCATGATAGAATATAAAGATATTATTTATGGCAAATGGCAGGCGGTGTGATAGTTATCATTAGCCCTTTAGTTGACTTCGGGCTTCACAGAGGAGAGGAGGAGGAAGATCAAAGTGAGAAGAATTCGAGAGGGGGAATAGAAGAGTGATTCACAGATGTAAAAGAGACAGACAGGCACCAAGGCTCAGAAAGGGTAAGATGAGTACTGTGGTAGGGGTCGAATATGACATACAGTGGGGTGATGGTAGTTTGAAGTCAGAAGTCAACTGCCGGTTGATAGACTTTTTTGCCGTATGATTATACGTTGCCCAGGGTGTACCACGAGGAGGTAAGTCTATCTCACATCCCGAATATTAAGATTTAGAACATAAGTTAAAAAACCGGTGTTTATGCACAATTAAGTTTCATTTTATGAGCTTTTCAATCACATTCACAAGTGGCTTCACCTGTCCTTCTACATATGCCCTTATACTGTGCCATTTGAGTCTATAACAAAACAATATCCAGAAATCGCGCAACACATTCATTTCGTAGGGGGCTCAATTAAGACGCTACGATGGTATCAACCTAATGCAGTCTCAAAAAACCAAACTCATCAAAATCGCAGGATGGATGATCGATGGTGGTGAACATCTCTCCACACTGGCAAATTCTAAGCCTTACAAGAAGTAGCAGAATTCGAGTTCCTCATAGGAATGGCTCCAAGATATCTAACTTCGATTAAAACTAAGTGTTGCTAACACTGGTTTATCGGACTTCAGTCAGAATGGTAAAAAATTGTATCAATGATGAAAAAGAGCTTACTCGGTAAGAAAAGGAAAGGAATTAAGTATTTCATCTTAGGGTGTGCGATAGACTTACCTCCACGTGGTGCACCCTGGGCAACGTATACTCGTACGGCAAAAAAGTCAATTAACCGTTAGTTGACATCTGACTTCAAACTACCATGGCCCCACTGTATGTCATATTTCACAACTTCACAGTACTCATCTCACCCTTTCTCTACCTTTGTGTCTGTCTGTCTCTTCTACATCTGCGAACCTCTCTTCTGTTCCCCCTCTCGAATTTTTCTCACTTTGTTGTTCCTCCCTCTGCGAATCCCGAAGTCAGCTAAATGGCTAATGATAACTATTCAAAACGCCTGCCGTTTGAAATAATAATAATAATATATTTCATCTTAGGCCGGATTGAAAGAACGCAGACAACCATTGGAGTAATGGGAAAAAAGGTCCATTGACCTAATTATTGAAGGAAACCATTCAAAGATGAAGTCCATATTAAGGAAAAACCAACACAACAATGGGGTTTATGTGATCGCTAAAGAAAATGCGTCGAAGTGAATGAGGGATGATTCAACTAACTGGAAATGGTCGCACCTTTTCAAGCCCTTCCTGGTGCCAATAGAGCTAATCAACGAAAATCATTCGAGAAGGTGAAGAGACTTCCACTAAAACTGTAGCTAAGGAAAGGCTAACAAAGATAAGATTTTTGCAAAAAATCTTAAAAACGAATTACTTATGCGTTGAGGGGGTGTGCGGTAGACTTACCTCCACGTGGTGCACCCTGGGCAACGTATACTCATACGGCAAAAAGTCTATCAATGGGCAGTTGACTTCTCACTTCAAACCGCCATGACCCCACTGTATGCCATATTCGACTACTTCCACAGTACTCACCTCACCTTTCTTTTACCCTTGTGTCTGTCTCTACTTATCTGAAACACTCTTCTGTTCCCCCCCTCACGATTTTTTTCACTTTGATGTTCCTTCTCCTCTGTGAAGCCTGCAGTCAACTAAAGGGCTAATGATAACTATCAAAACGCCGCCATTTGATACAAATAGTATTATGAATGAGGTAATCTAATATGTTGGTGTGGAGGGGGGGGGGAGTGGGAAGGTGCATTTCGAAGAGCACGAAAAATGAAATAACAGAGAAATGAGTAGCATCACAGAGACTACAATAGGTGGCATATTTAACGAAGAGGTGACTGAAAGTGGCAATTACTTAAAATCGACGGTTACATGAATGAAATATGGTTAAAACAGCAACGCATTCAGACACAAATGTGCGTAGAGGATTTATTCCATACCTAATTCATCTGCTATGCACGCCTTTCTACCTATTACTCATATCTCGGAGTTTAGACGGTTCATCAATTTCCACTCGTTGTCGAGGATTTATAAGTTAGGCTTAGGGATTCCACTTATTTGCATTTCTATATCATGTTTACAAACTTCTAGACTACTTCTGTTCTCTACCGACACTGTCTTCATTCTATCTTATGGGAGCCAAACTAGTGCTATTTCCACCGCCAACAAATTGTTACTCTAATTACCTTGACTGGATAAGTTGCAACAACCTTGACGACGCACATCGTGTGAAAATTGACATGTTTCTGACAATATCCACGTCCACTGGATCACTAGTTCCGGGGCCATCTGTAGCCATCCATCTCCAAATTGACAGACGCGGAATACATCTTGGGAGGGGTGCTTCATCCTGGAAGTCATCAAATCTTTGACGTCGGCATACTTCAACATCTACCGCTGATGATGTGGAGGGGAAGTAAAGTTGGCGCAAGACCGCCAGTTTCCTCTCTAGCATACCTGAAGAATAATAATAGGTAAGTAAATATATCCAGATGGCGTGTCCTTCTTGTAAACGCCTTCCACACCGTCAGACGGTAATTTTTATTGATTGCTTAACCAATACACACACACAGAGAGAGAGAGAGAGAGCTAAAAGAAACCGACAACTTATCTTAGCACAACTTCATATAATGCCTTATCACACCACCCTCTCTCCCCTCCTCTTCATTTCCACTTAATAAGGGCTGAGGCTTGTCACCATGCCTTCCAATTCCCAATTATCCATCCATGTTGTCTACTTCCTTTCTCTCCCCCACTCAGCTTTAATATTACAATTAGGGAAATTCATTAACTCTGTTGACGAAAATCTAAGCCTACTGAATGATAAATCTCCCAATTCAAGCAAACGTTAATTAAACTCTGACCTAGCGAATATATTCGTTAATTCTATGCATTATGCTCGTTTTTGTACTCGACAGTGAGCTTTCTTGATTGCCTTCATGCTTGGAAGCCTTCTTCTGTTAATCCCACTGAATGAGAAGGGGATGATTGATGAAGGAATCACACACTTAATAACTTAAATACAAAATCGTGGAATAATGCACTTCCAATTAGCACTCGAACTGGGCAGGGAAGTAGAATCATAAAGTTCCCTTGGTGAAAAACTGGAAACGTTTTATACCTTTACTTGGGAGGCTTAACCGGTGCGCAACGAATAAGGAGTCAGGAATTAGCAAATTCACTTGTAAACTAACCTAAGTCAACATCTGTCAACCCATCGAACTTTTCAAAATCAGTTGAATGAATTGGCCGACTTCCATAGAAAGTAGGCAATCGAACATCGCCTCTAAAGAAGGCAGGACACATTGATTGACCGAAGCATGCAGGACACTTTTCTACTTCTAATTGAACAAAATCGATTGGTTGCAATTTCGACTGAAAGTAGATGTGAAGTCCTATGCCAAGGGCGATAATAAAACCAATTGTTGAAATGTAAAACCATGGGGAGACGAGAGTTGCTTTCCAGCATGGCTTCTCCCTCTTGAATTCATTTATGCTGCGGTAAGCAATATCAGTATGGAGATCACTGGTAGCCTAAAAACACGTAATATTCATCACTCATCAGTACCAACGACCTACTCGTTGCAGAATGTCAAGATACGTTAAATAAGAACATGTCTACAATCTGTACTCTAATCGCCATTCAACCGATTGATTGTAATTAATGGAAAGTTCCCATTGGTTAATTTCACAAGCAGCTACGTTTCTATTAGCTCGATAATTTTACATCACCTGATTGAAATGTTCAAATGAAATGATATCCCTTCCCAGTTACTTACCCACTGGACCGGGAAATTAAAAATTCCTGATGGCATTAGCAGTAAATCATTCCTCAACCTAATACCAACTCTATTCATTACTGAAATGTATAAGTAGAGTGAAAAATAGTGTTAGGTGCGAATCACATGCGTTTGTGTCGGTGGATTGATTACACAGGCAAAGCATAAAGAAGTCCATTGAAAACAATTAAATATCTTTCAACTTCATCCATTTCATGGAAGGGGAATACGCACATACAAATATAGATATTAATAAAATGTTAGTACTCGCGACACGTAATGGAGGGGGATTAAATGCAGTTGTACAAAAAGGTTAGGTGGAAAGGAAGGGGGCGGGGGGGGGGGCGGGCGGGCGCGGGAAGGAGGCCTTACATTACAGTTAACAATAATTATAATAAATCCAGCTTATTTAAAATTCGTCGGCGTTCGAGGAGAGTGGTGGACACAGGAGCACCTACGGGCTTGTGGCAAGGTACTAAAAGGAGAAAAACACGTTCGTCACTAAATAAAAAGCATTTATGACAAGTACAAGCAGAGGAAAAGGGCAGCAAATCGGCAAACCATGGTGGTAATACTATGTCCGCAGTTGCTTGAATGCCTGAAAATCAAGTAGTTCAAAACCCCCGCAATAGAATTAACTCAAGTACCAGCAACTCCAACTACATTGCGACGTTTCGGGTTCCAAACCCCAATTCTAGTGAATTGATTAGCCAACGATCCGGCCAACATCATGGAGTCATATTCTAACACTACTTTTGTTTACAGCTGTGTTTAAACTTACGAAGTGTGACTTCTAATGCGTGGATGTTGATTGATTCTACTCATCGAAACAAAGATGACCTCCACCAATAGAGAATTGCCTAAAGAACTAGTTTTGAGATAAGATGACCCTTCGTGAGCAAACGAGGAGTGAGATCCTAAGCCCGGAAGAGGTTCTATGACATTGAAACTTAAATAAAAGTGTAGTAATTATAACCTTAAGGCGGAAACCAATTCCAATTGATGAACAGAAGGAGGTACATCGGATAATAGCCCAAGTAAAAGCAGAAAAAAGCCTGATGCAAATAATGCAAGTTTTTAATAGCCCTAGCATAAATAGCCTTACGCAATTTCACTTGACGGTACATACCTTCTTTATGATACCGTTTAAATAGTCCCTTTTCGAGGAGATGTCGACACTGGGGTACAGGTCAGCAATCTAAAAAGGAAAGAACGGTAATTAACGGGAGAGAGAGAGCGAGGCAAATCAACAAGGAAGTAAAATTGGAACTGAACGAGTATACAACGCGAATATATGGACGAGTGTCGATTAAGATGAAGATATTTATAATAATGGCAGAGCCCAGGTGCTACATAAGGACATTGAGTTCTTGCCAATTAGAGTACCATCGAACATTTCAAAAGCATTCACATGTAATTATCTCCTTGCCTTACTCAGAACCAATAGTTTAGGGGCAATTAATTAAGAGGTAACCCAATTCTGACATGCTTGTTTTGCGATCTTTCTGCCCAAAACCAGCTTTCAATGACAACATTTCCATCTGTAGTGATTTGCATCGCTACAGCTGCAACAATCGGAACAACGACAACAACAAGGCCAGTACAGCAATACCAGCTGTAAAATCGACCAATCCGCGTACCGGCACCACTACAACAAGAACAAGTTAGCTACTGCGAGTTAATCCCACAAGGAGCCAGCAAACAGCGAATAAACTCAGTCGGAAATTAGTGCGGCTCAACCTCGTCCAACTACAGTAACAATTCACCGAATTTCATTACGCGTGGAATTGAGTACCAAAATATAAGAGATGGGAACCTGATTTCACACATACCGACTGTCGGATTGACTTCATGGAGACCTCATTCAAATTGGAATTCTTCAAAAGCTCGAGAGTCTTCACCTTCAGTTCTTCATCTGAGGGGAAAGGAGCAGATTCACTTTCTGATTCAGCAGGCTTTGACGACTGCTTATCAGTAGATTTATTCCCAACACCAGATGATTCTTCCTCTGATACTGCAGTAGAGGAAGATACCTTCGCCAATGGTTTGTCATCATCATCGTCGCTATTTTGTTTATCTCCTGCCTTTTCTTCAATTTTCTCTTCTTCAGATTTTTCATCACCAGATTCCGCCAAGTCACTGAGAGCGTCTTCCTCCTCCTCCTCAGATTCTGTTTCAATTTTTGCACGTTTTCGTCGCTTAGCTGGGGTAGCGGACTTGCTAGCAACGGTAGACCTGCGTTTCTTGGGAGCAGACTTCTTTTTGCCAGCAGCCTTCTTCTGCTTCTTGTTACCGGCTGGAGAGAAGTCATCATCGCTGTCTGAAGCCCCTTTGTCCGAGGCAGGTGAAATGGCTCCGGATTTTTCTTCTGTTTCAGACGCTTCATTTTCTTCCTGTTCTTCATCACTGCTACTTTCTTGATCTTCCTCACTTTCCTAAATATTTATAAATAAATGGTGAAGAAATCGTTCGAGTCACTTCATCAGTAATGATCTAGTTAATTTGGGTACTGGAAGAAAAAAAGACACTTGTCACCTCCCATTATCATTTATAGTATTTACTGCTAATCTACTTCAGTTGCAATAGCACAATGAAAAGATTGTAAAATGTTCTGCATTGCAAAGGATAATAAACTTGAGACAAATTACGCTAGCCAATGACCTCTGGATATTATCGACAAAAATTAATTCATGAACCGGGAAAAAATTAAATTGAAAAAAAAGAAACAGAGAAATCTAAAAATTAAAACGGGAACTTTTAAATACCCGGAATTTACCCTCAATATCTACTCGATTCCGTATCGAGATCTTTAATGGCTTCTCCACGAAGAAAATTAGCATCTTCCGCCACGAACTAATCATTCAATTGGCATGACATTATGGGAGCAATGTCATTACACAAATATATAAACAGAACTCAAGACACAGATAAGTCATAATAACTATAAAAAAATGCAAAACATATAAACTTTTGAGAAAAAAATAAAATATTGAAGGCCAATCATCCTATTGGCTTCTACGGGAGCATCAACTGGTCAATGTCTTTTGACCAAATAGCGAAGCATATAGGTAAAATTAGACGTTGAAGGAACCAGTTACTGATAACAATAAACAAGTGATCGAAAGAATTTGCTGGTAAAATTTCTCACAAGAAGCTTAAAAAATTGAGCATTGGATAAATCTTCTTTGCAACAGAATTGGAAATTACGACCAACAAGCATGAACTATTTCCCGAGTATAAAAGCAACCGCAAACAACAATGAATAGGAACAATCCGACCCCAACCAAAGACACCAATAGGAACGGTCTAGGATTCGTCATACCTTAGCTGCCTTTGACTTTCGTCCAGATTTGGAATTTGTTTTGTTATTTGATGAGGAATCGGTCTTGGACTTGCGACCACGCTTGGAGGGTGGAAGTTTGCCTTTATACTTGACTGCCGAGGCCTCTGGTTTGAGCAAGAATTCCAGCAGACGGGTGACAATTTGACTTCGAGTGCCTGATACTTCCAAGTGAAGTTGACGAAGCGCATCTTGAATCTCTTTTACAGGTTTTCTAGAAAGTAAAGTTTGATAAAGCGTTGCAATTTCCACCAATTAGATCAGATGCAGAAAAGAAAGCAAAGAATCAGAAATATGGGTCAACATAAAATAAGGACTCCAAAATTGAATTCAGGGTAGAAAAAAAGTCAATGGGAGATATTCTAAAAGCCTGACACAAAACACAATAAAGCGGAACTTTAACAGACCTAAAGTCATATGCACAAAACTGTTTATAAAGTAAAACGTTATGCTCCTCTGACATAAGCGTTGCGAACATAAGATTAGGGAAAAAGCATTCGAGATCAGATAGTTAAACTCAAATCAATTAGACTGTACTCGAACTTAGACAAGTTCAGAAATTCAAGATAAATGAAGCGGTTTTAAGGAATAAGTGGCATACCCTTCGAAAAGAACCGTAGAAACAAGACGAGATTTTAATTTGAAGTGGATTTAGCTTAAATGCATTGGAGAGGGGCTTCGAAATGCTAGGAGCAACTGTGAGACGGTAGAATACGCATTCCAAGCCCATAGCCTACTTAACTTTATCATTCATCATTCCATTTAAAGAAGGGTTCTAGTTGTTAGATCATTGAGAATAAAAAAACACGTAAAGAACAACGATTTAGCTCACGTCAATAAACACCGGTTTGATTACTTCAAATAGAATGACAAAGCATTAGAACCACAAACATAATTTATACAACCATAAATAATTTAAATAAAGACATTTTTACAAACAATCAACCACGATGGTTCAAACTAGTATATGCCGAACCAGTCATTATAGTAACAACTTAAATCTCTGTAGAGCGCAGATAAACTACAACTCAGGAAACTTGAATAAAGTGTAGGGACACCAGTTCTAACTGTCAACAGCAAAAGAAGGCATCCCAAGTAGGGATGGGGAAACACCAGTCTAACGTCTACCACAAGTACATAACCAAACCGAAATCCATCATTTCAAAACCAAAATACGGGAGCACATAACAGACTGAAATAATATTAATCAAAGTCATTAATAAATGCAAATTTGCCGACACATAAACTCGATAAATTAAAGTCAAAGATATTTCTAACTATCATGATAGCAAAGACAGCCTGTAAAGTGCAACCAAAATGAGCCAAAAATTAATAGCTTAAATATAAATGCTCACTTATTAAGAGCAGCCTCGCGTTTAGTGTACTCATCAGATTTCGCATCAAAAGAAAAACCATTGAATTTCCTCAAATTCGATCGAACTTCACTCATAGTTCCAGCTCGGCCGAAACAAGCATAATGGAGTACTTTTAAGTCCACTGGTCTGAATTTCTTGATAGAGGACTCAATAAGAGGAATTTCACCAAGAAGAGTACCGGAACCCTTAGCAATTAACTCATCTATAGCCTTCTCCTTGGTCTCTTTTTCTTTAGTATAACTTGAATTCCACATATCTGAGAGGCGTTGAACTTGTTTGCGAACTCGCGGTTGCCGAGCTTCAGTATCACCGCTTGACGAAGCTGGAGCATTGATAGGTTTCGATTTGGTCGTTGCGGATTTTACATTTTCTTCATTCGTGTTCTTATTCGAACCACATTCATCTGTTTTAGGAACCTCGGATTCAACTACGGTTTCTTTTGGTTTTTCGTCAGCTTGTTTAACAAGGGCTTTCTCAGGCGAGGAAGTAACGTTTTCTGAGTTATTGATAGCTTCCATTGTGCTAAAGCAAGATAAAAAATAAAAATAGCTATAAGAATTGATCAAATCCAGAAAAAGGATTAAAATCTCATTCGAAATAACATAACAAGCAGAGCAATTCGGAAAATGCATATAAGATCTACCAAAGCAAATTCTCAAATAATTGTAAAATTGATAAACATCAAAATCAATGTAAAAGAAAAAGTCAACGATACTAAACATGAAGACAGAAGTTAATGCTTATCTAAGTGGACAAATCATACCTTCAATTTATCAATATTAAGGTTGGAATCTAGACCGTTGAAAAACAGACAATATGAATTTTGTATTTGCGGATCCCCCGGTATTATGAGAAGCATTTAAAACGAAGGAACTAAAACGAAATCATGAATTCGCAGTAATCCGCTAGTATATAAAATAACCCATATTGTAAAGTTATAAAGATAATCAATTATAATATCATAAATGCCCTTATATTGTTTATAGTTTTTATTTCTTTAATCATTTTTTATTTATTTTTAATTTTGATCTCGTAATTTACCAACTCTTTGCTGATATTTAGCAACGTAGCTATTACTATATATTTATAATTCTTTCCTGCTTCATGCCTTTATTTTTTCAATGAATTAAGACTAAGAAAAGCCAGAAACTGTAATGTGTGCTTTAATGTGTATTGGACAAGCATATTCCTCCTTTAAAAATTGCGATTTTAGGCTAAATTGAATAAAAAAATTACATTAACCTGGTCTAATTTCCCGTTCCAGTTTTTGATGACAAAAACGAACACATATAATGGTCTTTTACCTAAAATTAGCCTTTAATTTATAAATTCTCCCTTGTTATGGCACCGTTTTGTCTTGCAATACATAGATTTATCCAACATCTAAATTTAAACTTCTGCATCACAGGCTTTTGACGACAGAGAAGGTCAAAGAACAGATATTGTGAAGATTATTTTCTTGAAAATGAATTCTAGAAAGTATTCAATCATTGAATAACTTCACCCCACTACATTTATCGGGCTTCTTGTAGATATGTTTTTGATCGCCAGTTAGTAGGGTTTCGAACATTGTGCAATCAATTGTTGTAGAAAATCGATCAATATACTTACTAACTATTATGCTCTCTTTTTCAGGCTCCTATGATTAAAATAAGCGACTGGAAAATCTGTCCAATATATTTATTGCAAATCAAGAGAAGGGAGAGTAACCCGCGCCTCTCTTGAAAAATATTTTCCTCTTTAAACCGTTTTAAAAAATATTTTTTTTTCTAATTTTCTTTTCACTTTCCCATGGAACGGCACAACTTAAACGTTAACGCAAAATATCTGCCCCTATTTAAGTCCTTATTTGTATTCACTTATTCTCCCGCATTCTATCCCCAATAAAGACACAAATCGCACATTTCTACGTGAAATATTACTGCGCGCTTTGATTTATAGACCCGTTTGGCCTTGTCACCTATTGCTTTCTATTTGTCAGTGAACAAGGTCGAAAACCCTGACTGCATTTCTAAATGTCGCTTTGTATGTAATTTTGTTTTCACGTTCGAATTTTTTACATAACATTCGCCCTCTACCTTTCGTTCTCTCTTCTTTTATTTTGCAATGATTGTTTAACGGACTATTAACTGGTCTAAATTCTTGTTCGTCTCATTTGAGAATAAAAGATTATAAAGACACCTTTAATTTGCAAATTTTTACTTAACAACGCTTCTTCCCGTCTATATACGTGCTTCGCGTTGTTCAATCACTCCCCTATATGACTCTATACTAAATTAATCTTTTCAAACCGTGATCACCCACTCTTCAGTTTGTGTGTTGTGTATGATTCAAAGTTTTTAACGTCCCCCTTCGCGAAACACTTTCACTTATTTTTAATCAGTTTGAAAAAGTCGAAAATTTGAAAAGTGCTCATATTCCATTGAAGGAAATAAAAATATCCACAATTGGTGAGCAGCTTTGGCAAGTGAGGTGGTTTAACTACCTGACCTACTGAAAATATTAGAACTTATGTTGATTTTTGAATATTAAGGAATATACTGAATTGATTAATATCATCTAATGAATTTAAAAGCTGACAAAAAGCACTTTGATCAAATATTATTCATGGAATTTAAGTCCTCCCAAAGCAATACGTAAAGGAAAGTATATGTTTTTAAATATAACCGAAATCACAATGAATTAGTATGGTGTCAAATGTGCCATTTGAAGATATCTATGACAATAAATGAACTTTCTTTAAGAATATTTCACAAAAACAAATGATTGAAAAGTCTTCATGCTTAATTCAAATTATTATATATATTAAATAGCCGCAATATTATAACGTGTTTATGAAAGGGTATAGTAATAAAGGGAGTTCGAAGGCTTCATTTTTCTATAAATCAGAAAGATCACATTTTTTAGGGAATTATAACAGTTATGATGGGAGAAAATTAAAAGCTAAATTTCTAACTCTAGTAAGAAACTCAGCCACACAAATTCTAGATCGAATGCAAAAGTGTTGAGGTTTTAGCAGAATTGAACTGTTTAAATGTTCGAAATGGATCTACTTTGTTGTTGGCGTAGCTCTCTCCCCTTTGCTCACTTCTTTTTCGCCAATCTTCGGCTCTTCCGTCTTGCTGTGCTGATTGTCACCATCTCCGTAAGCGCCTGTTGTGTATCTTGGGAGTGTTGGTGGATCTTGAATTGACCACTAAAAATGCATATAACTTTTCATTTGCAAAGTATCAACAGCATTTTACACCCTCTTTAGTCTTATTCAACTAGAATTGTTGTGCTATTTGCTTAAATTCTTATTTGCGTATCACTTATATACCTATATTTCCCTTTTAAGCCATTCTAATCTATTTCTTACTAGATTTACAAAATCGGTTATCTGCCCGTGATTGGCAACATCAGTAGGTGGAGGAACCAACGAGTCCTTAGAAAAGGCCATTTGCTTCTAGTTACTATTCAGTAGGCATTACGCAACAATCAATTGAGTAGTTAGAGCATGGACTCGCTGATTGTGTCTTCCTTCATAGTTGAAACTAGTCCTATTTTAGGAATATGTAGTGGGTAGGCTTTCTGTTTCGGGCCTTCGTTCTCTAACTAGCAGGAAACAAGTCGCTTAATCTTCCTCATACGTTGTGTGCGATAGACTTACCTCCACGTGGTGCACCCTGGGGAACGTATACTCATACGGCAAAAAAGTCTATTAACCGCCAGTTGACTTCTGGCTTCTAACTACCATCACCCCCCCCCCTGTATGTCATATTCGACTACTTCCGCGGTACTTACCTCACCTTTCATTTACTTTTGTGTCTGTCTCTTTTACATCTTTAAAACACTCTTCTTTTCCCCTCCCCCCTCTCGAAATGTTTTCCACATTGACATTTCTTCTTTTCTGTGAGGCCTGAAGTCACCTAAAGGGTCAATGAAACTATCAAAATGCCTGCCATTTGTTATAAATAAATAAATAAATAAATCTTCCTCATACAGAGCTAAAACTGATTAAAATTGGGTTTAATCTGAAGGCCCCCCTCATTATTGGCATGATCAAAAAAATCATGTGACATTGACAGTCGCTTTCTGTCGCCTTAACATGCTTCGAATTCTACCAGTTGCTTGCTCAACTGGCGAATGTCGCGATAAGGTGAACAAAACTTTGAATTAACTTGATATACCCACTGAAGTTTAAAACAATGAGCTGATGGGCAGTGACGACAATTTGAAAAGCTATTTATTTAAAAAAAGACATAATTTTCCCTCTATTTATGCAAATAGACATGTAGATTTGCAATAATGCCCGAATAAAAAGGAAAGAAAAGCATATCTCGTTTGCGGCATTTTTGGTTAAAAAATTATACAAATTTTCTTGAATGTCGGCAATATATATTTACGGGTCTAATCATTTCATTAACAACTGACTTGTAATAATTAATATTGACTAAAATGTCCTATTAATGCGTCTGGTCACGATTAAAGCATCCTTCATTAGTTGGATTCTAAAACTATCCGAAGCGAAGTTGGTAATGCCCATTTTTGGCACAAATCATTTGCAAATTCAATTTGGCAGTATGAATTTTTGCAGACTACACGCCTTTCAGTCTTATTTTAATATGCTTATACCAATTTAACCAAGCAACGAGTGCTTTACATACGATCGCCAGTCTAGTGCAGATTATTTCATATGTCTCAACTTATTCAATGGTGGTTGTGTGTGAGTTTATTAAATAGCTCAACTCTGTTCGGACGCTCTCCATCTTGTTATGAGGCGAAAATCGTGAGGATAATTCCTTAGTCAGATTCCACTCAATACCCCTTAGGACAATTTTTTCCCCTATGTTTATCAAGCATTTCAATTTGAAAACGTTAAGTATGATTCTAAATCAACAGGATGCTCACCACACCATCATTATTGAGACTATATATTGAGGCTCGAATCCCATTGGTCATTGACAAGGCCGAAGCACGTTGTGAGCATGTTGGATGGAAAGCAGCAGCCAATGATTTGCAGTTTACATAATCCATTGCCCAGCAACAAGTTGATGCAAGAAGGACCCATGCAGCCAATATACTGGCGCCAACGCAGGCCCAGGCAATGTAGTAACCATTTGTTGTGTTGATTGTGGTGGTTGCTAGTTTGGCCTATTCAAGCAAATAGTTTGAAATAGAAGAAAAACTAACTAATTTTTGAAAAAAATATTTCAAATGGACACGTTAATGCTTATTAATAGCATTTGGCTTAAGAGATTAAAACCAAACAAAGTATACAAAGAGTTATAACATATGATGTGATATAAAGTTAAATAAGTTTATTTGAGATCAAAAATTTTTAAAGTATTAAATAATGCTTAAGTTACATAGGGTATCCTCTCGGTACTAAGGCGAAGGCCAATATGAAATACAGTCATTGCCGCCAAAAACAGACAGGCTAAAATGGGCATATTAATGCAAATATTAAATGGAGCGCCAGATCGTAAAGTGAAATATAAACGATATAATACCTACAAGTAACAGAAGCGATGAAACCAACAAATAAACGATATGCCCTAATGAAGAAGGAGTCAAAGGGAGCGCGGAACCAGACGAATGCCAAGTGAAGACCGGATATGAGTCCTAGAGCGGATCCAAGTAAACCTAACGAAACCGTGGCTGCTCCAGCAATTGTGATAACTATTACACCAAGGATGCACATTAATATTATTGCATTAGAATATACAGTAGTTTATGGAACCGTACCTCTTTGATATGGAGTTGAGCTTGGTACCTTGTATTGGCCAAAATCCTTCATATAACAAGCATCGACAGTATCATGCAGTCCTCCTGGAGTTGGTACTTCCCAAATAAAGTGTTAAACCAGTCACCAATCGATCTTACCCGTTGGATTGCCAATGAAACAGTCCTGAAGAATTCCCTCAACTCGATTCTGTGCGTACCTAGAGTGATAAAAATCAAACATCGCGATTCCGACTTACTTATTACCGTCACTAGATGGGACACCAACATTTATCTCCACCCAACCCCCCAGACTTAGCATTGCAATAGCTAAGGTTAAGGTGGCGACTTGAAGCCAGAGTCCAATGAAAAATAGCCCTTTTATTGTCCCGTTGGAGCATAATCGATATTTGCCTAATGTTGAGAACCCAGAATACATTTCTAAAAATTGATATTCAATAAGATAGAAAATGAGTTACTTCAAGTTGAACAAACTGTCGTGAATTTACTTGATGCTCGGGAAAAGGGAGTGAGGTTCGAGTGAGCAATGGTCCTACTGATGACAATTTCTTATTTGCGATCCTGGTCCGTATGATTGTGCAAAAGAGTGTGTGCACTAATTAGCCAATAGGCGATCGGATTTTCGCCAGTACATTCAATGAATATCTGTTCATTCGGCTCGATAAATACGCAAAAGATACAATGGTGCGGAAATTTGTATATCTGGCTTTGATTCCACTAATTACTCGTCCACGGAGAAACTTGATATCGATTTATTGGCAGAGTGGAGACTAGTCCCCTTCAATAAACATTTTAGTACACTTTGTATTGCCCAACCACGATTTAGTGTCTACTGACTTATACTTGTCCTATTGAGCAAATATTTATGACATTCGTCAAGATCTAGGACTTATATGAGAATTCTGGAAAGTTATTTGGTGGAAAGTGAAGGCACGGCTCAGCACGAATATACCATCAATCTGGTTGCCGATGCTACTTGATATCCTAAACGCACTGAACTATTCGAATTGCCTAAAAGGTAATCTAGTCTTTAATATCAGTATAAACTGACTCATAGGATTGTCAGTTCTCTCAGCGTACTCAATCTGTTGTTTATCAGCAGAAAAACAACACATTGACGTACTTTATATATCCTGTTAGCCTAAGGAAAATCATTATTGGGTTAGAGTAACTTGAATCAAGATGACCAAGTTATGGGGACTAAGATAACACCATACAGCAGACAACCGCAGTTCCTAAAATGTAGAACTCTAAGAGTTGAGTACAGATCAACCTATTGGATTGGAGTTATAGGTGATGAATTTTTTCTTGAACTATTGATTGATCTTTAGTAAGTATCGCCATGCAAAATCTGGTTTTAGACAGAATTCTTTATGAGCCATATCAGTGTTTACTTTGGAAGAACTGTTTATTAAGCATGATTTTAAATACAGACATGAGTTACTGTCTCAATTTTGCATGATATATATAAGGCGTCTGAATCGAATTTCTCAAATGCAAAGATCATTGTTTTGGCAATGGAAAATGGCAGGAGACTAACTATCTATTGTTGTCTCATGAGTGCATACATGTGCAAACTCTATGCGTGGTGATACATTTATGTAAATTTTAGGCATTGTGGAGAGCTTTGATGACTCCATAATTAGCATAAGATCGAGTTCTGGGGGGTGGGAGGTGGATCAGAACAGTGAGTGTGAAAATGTGACATTCGGAAACTCGCTTTTCTCGCAATCACCTCCTCTTTGTCATGAACAGAGAGAGAGAGAGAGAGAAACGAAAAAAATATGTAAGAAGGGATAGTTACACTGATGAAATATGTAAAAAGGAGGGAAGATAGCAAATTAATTTTGAATTATTATACTTGCCTCACTTGTACCTGTTATGACACGATCTTTAACGGAATGAAATGCCTCTTTAGAACCATATTTATGGGGCTTATTGGTGACTGATATATTCATTCTGGGGTGTGGGATAGATTTACCTCCTCGTGGTACACCCTGGGCAACGTATACTCATACGGCAAAAAAAGTCTATAAACCGGCAGTTGACTTCTGACTTCAAACTACCATGACCCCACTGTATGTCATATTCCACTACCTCCACAGTACTCACCTCACCTTTCATCTACCTTTATGTCTGTCTCTTTTACATCTGTAAAACACTCTTCTGTTCCCCCCTCTCGATTTTTTTTCTATTTGATGTTCCTCTCCCTCTGTGAAGCTTGAAGTCAACTAAATGGCTAATGATAACTATCAAAACGCCCGAAGTCAACTAAATGGCTAATGATAACTATCAAAACGCCTGCCATTTGACATAAATAAATATATTCATTCTTAAGTCACCGAAATATTCCATGAACATTCGAACTTGCACCTTGAAGTACAATACCATTTCTAGATCTTAAGTACATTTACTAAAGTGTGTAGATGTTGGATAATGATTTCGCATGCACTCATTGTGAACTAGAAGGAAGAGACGGGGGATCAGATTTTTTGTTGGTTCGCGTGTCATTAGATTCAAATAGATTATTCAACAATATAAGACACGGGTAATGCATCGCATATTTAATTTCATATAAAAGCAAAAACTAATTTTTTCCTACGTTTGTCTTAAAAAATCTCATTTCTGTCAATATGCTGCTAAAATATTTTGCCACCAAGAGTAATCACCAGTTGCCTTAAACCATTTAATTATCATTTAGAAATAATTTATTTTGATGTTTCGTAATTTGCTTCTATTTAATGAATTTCAAAGTTAAATTTAGACAGCTAAATATCCTAGGGTGATATTAAATGATCAAAGTTTATGGTTTCATTTATTTTTAAGATTTAATCTAATTAGCCAAATATTTTGGGACTGAAATCAATAAACTAGAGAAATTGTGTTTTGGTAGGATCACAAAATTTTATGGTCATGAGGATCCTCATTATCATGATGATATCTAGGCCGACAGATTTTTCCAACGAAAATGTTAACAGATAATCATTGTGGGTTATGCTAATAACTTAAATATTAACAAATTAAACTTATGCATCGTTCGCAGAGAAGCAATTATTAAGAAAAATAAGATCCCGAATTTAAAAAAAGGTTGAATCTGGAAATAATATCGTTCACTTTCTACGCACATAAACGTTTTAAAGAAGATCAGGCAACGTAAATTGTAGTAATAAGTATTACTTAACATTTATAAGTACATCAAATATATTTAAGTTATTGGCAGGCCAATTAGGAAGTACTTATAGAAGATAGGGCACCAATCGCAGATACATCTCAGCACATTTCAACCAAAGGCTCCATGTTCTATAAATTAAAAAAGACCATTCGGCGTAACACCTTGTAGAAAGAAACTCGTTAAGGGAAATTTTCTTCCTGACAAATTTTGCAGCTCCAAATACTGAATAGCTGTTGTTAGTTTAATGAGTAGTATCTACTGTCTGGTATCACTAATTATCAACAGAAACGCATGTTGTGCTATGTTTCCTCTATCCTATTGCGCACACCTGATTAGCATTTTTAACACTAATTGATAGCAACAAATAAGCCTTATAAAGTAAATACGGTGATTCCTCTTAAGATAATTCTACTTCACTCATCAGGATTCGAGGTTGTGTCGGATTAGCTGATTTTGCTATGACTTCAGCTCTCCATATTTTCTGATTTAAGATAACATAGTGATGTATATGAATGTCCCCCAACTTGCCACTTGTGCGCAGCTAACCAATGTCATTTTAAAGAGCATTAAACTGCATCACTCTTAATTCACCTTTCGCCTTCCATTCTCCCTTGTAATCTATTCGTGTAGTACGATCTTACTACTGAAATCCATGAGAAGGTCCGTGATATCTTGTGTGCCTTTAGAATGAACATGTGTGCCATTGGATGATTTCTCTGAGGCTAAATTCGATCTGACTCATAAAGTAGACTTACTATTGGAGTTACTCCAAAATGTGTCATCAATATACTTCAATTAGTGGAATCTATCAAGTCCAATGCATACATTGTGCTTGAACGCTAACATGGACGGGGTTAATTTGAAACCAACAACGCAATGGTAATCTTAACTGCGCAACAGCCCGTTACTCTTAACTGGCCCCCTAAAAGACAGTCAGCATTTAGTGAGCTAAGTGATGCAGCATGACAGACGTCACGTTAAACGACTTGAAGAAGGCCGCGTTACTGGCTCTTATTGCCAAAATGATATGCTGTTGTTGTTCCTGTAATTTCGGATGTGGTGGAGGTGGTGGGAGATGTGGCTGCGGGTGTGGATGTGGTGGCTGTTGATCCGGAAAAGGATAGCAGTGAAAAGATCTCGCTTTAAACCCGATTTAAAATGTCATAAACACTTGTAATTTTGCCTTTCAATAAAATTTTTCATTTGTGCTGCCTATTTTTGCATTTTACTACTTATCTGCCATTTATAATGCCAACTTTGATTCGCATAGTGGAAAGATCACATTTGGGCCACTTACTACTTCTCTTATTGTTCTGTGCTATTAGTCAACATTTTAATAAAACAAGAGCTCTTCCATTGAAACCACTAGCTCAATTGCATGAGCTTCCTGACCAGGACATATTGAATGTCAACTCTATAACCAAAATAACTGAGTTCTATGAGATCTGTTGATATGGGAAAGATATTACTCCCATTCTATTGCTTCTTGAGTTGGAAGACAAGGGTAAGTATGATTATTCACGTAATCTTATTATATCAATAAAATATCCGTCAAATTCAGTGTATGACCTCAAAATCTCATAATATATGT